GCCACTGTTTTCCCTACCCTTGATTATGCTGATGGTTGTTATGCTGATATCACCCAGGAACTTCTCAACAAATTGGATTGCTTGCTCAATAGTTGCATTCGCTGTATTTGAATCTTTGAAAATTTGGTCACGTGTCCGCATGTCGCAATGAGCTGAAGTAGCTTACGATTCGCCAACGCCGTGATTTGAGAATACTTTCCGCTCTTTACTCTGTCATTAATAGGAGGCACCATCCACTGTTAATGTAAACTTAATTGTATTACTGAAATAAACATTTTTTATTTTATTTTTTATTTATTTTATTAATGATCAATGTGCACCTAGGTATTTCAAATGTAAATTACAATATTTCAGTGCTCTCATGACCGCAATCTTCGCTCAGACAGCAAATTGACGCTTTTCATTCCTTCTCACCGTACTGGTTTTCTTTCTAACTCATTTACTCTTCAGGCAATACGACTCTGGAACGCTCTGCCGCTTCATATTGAAAAAGCGCCGAATAAGTTAGCTATCAAGCAATTAGTCCGCGATTTCAGGTTGGAGTCTCAATCTACATCCCATTAGTCTGGTATTGTTATATGTACATGTGTATGTATATATATATATATATATGCAGCGAAAGTCATATAATTAGAAGCACTTAGTCACTTGGTAGTCTTTTCATGTAATTAACTATATTATTACAATTAATTGGAGGCCAAATATTAACTTACTACATTGCAATGTACACTCATATCCTAGTTTAAATACAAGCTATAAAATTTAGACAATTGAAACAATGAAACAAAAACTATCTAACTAAATCCTTGGCAGGTGAACAACTAATTAGAAACAAAGTATGGCTTACGTTCGAATCTTGAATTTTAAAACTAAAATACACTTTAAACAAGGTTATCATATTATGCATTTTGCCACTTTTTCTTACTTATTTAGTTAAGTTACCTAATGTCTGGCTCAATTGTTAGAAATGGGTAAAAAGAAGAACTGTGATGCAGTAACAAGAAAGATTATAGTGTATTTACATTTAAAACGAAAATGGACGTACCGAAATGTCGCCTATCATTTAGGGTGTTCTGTAAAGATGGCATTTAACGCCACTGCACATTTCGAAAAATATGGAACATCGGACAACGGTCTAAGAAAAGATCGGCAAATGCAGACCACCGTTCAAGAAGACAGGCATGATTCGTTTAGCTAAGACGGACCCCTTTAAAGGTTCTAATGTTATTAGAAAAGAAGTATTTTCACAAGACGACATTCGAAACGTGTCCGCGAGACTAGTCCGTAGGCGGCTGTTTTAAGGAAAATTGTTTGAAAGGGTTTGAAAGAAATTATGGCAGTTGAACTGTTCATACATGGAAAAAAGTTTCATTTTCAGATGAAACTAAAATAAATTTGGTAAATTCCGACGGAAAGCGATATGTACGAAGACCAATCAACGAGGCTTTGAATGACAAATACACTAAAAAGACGTTAAGCACGGTGGTGGAAATGTTAAAGTGTGGGGATATTTTTCGGAAAAAGGGACTGGTCTCGTGAGTAGGATTGAATGTCTGATGGATCAGTATCAGTACAAATGTATCTTAGAGGGGACAATGATACCATATTCCGATGAATATTTGCCAGTGACATGGATATTTCAGCATAATAATGACCTATAGCATACAGCACATAGCCTTAATGCCTTTCTCAGAGAATGAAAAAAAGTGTTAGAGTGGCCTGCCAATAGCCCGAGTTTAAATCCAATAGAAAATTTGTGGCACACTATAGAGAAAACATTGTCACATAAACATATAACCAATATCAATGAACTTTACTATGCTTTTGTAGAAACTTGGAGATATATTTCTTTAGAAACATGAGAAAAATTGATAATATCAATGCCGCGGCGTTGTAAAGCTGTAATCGACAACAGAGGCTACACTACCAAATACTAATCAGTTTAGGATGAAGCATTTATCCAAATTATTTGGATAAATGCTTCATTTTGCTCATGATTTTACTGTTTTTTTTTTGTTTCTATTTAGTTATCCGGCACAGTCCATAGTATTTCAATTCGATCTGAATAAATGTTTTAATTTAGTGACATTACCGTTATTTGTAATTACTAAACTGGTATAATAATACATTTTACGTGCCGATACATCCTCGTAAATACGTCGGAGCTCTCTCTATACACGTTAAAAATTAGTTACTAGGATAATTTGTAATGACAAAAGAAATCAAGGTCGGTGTTTCTAATTATATGACCACCGCTATATATTATGTACTTATGTGTATATAGGTTGCTTATATAAGAATATAGTTAAGTCATTAATATATGACATATTTATATTGAGTTTATACAATGTGTTGATTTGCATTCTCGCCATATTTACAGAGGTCATTCTATATCCGACGCTTAACACAATAATCGAAAAAAAATTCTGATTTTTTATTTCATTGCGGTAAATATCGATTCGCAATCACCTGATCCTGCTTGATCCAAAGGTCACCGACTTGCACGGCAGGTGCTAAGTTCATAGCCATAGCACAGCCGGAGGAACCGAGAAAGTATTGCTATCTCATTCTTTCTCAAACGCAGCGCACTCGTCGGCCTAAGTAGTGCGCTCGTTTACGCATAAGCACGAGGTGGGATAATATTGCCGAACTCGCCGCAATTCTACTTATCTATTAGCTAATCTATCACGAAACGCCACGTGGTTTGGTATAAACAAGAGTTAGTGCAAAAAAGAACCTGCATTGTCCTGAAGTGTAAGCTCACGTGGACGAGAATACGAGTGTCGAAGAATTGCGCGCAAAAAGCGTCTCTGCTTTCAAATGTGCTAAGTTGAAACGAAACTCACGAGCGAATCTCTGCCACCAGCCGTGGAGCTAGGTACTTCTAGCAACACTTAGGGTCGTATTCCAGAACTCTACTCAATACTCAAGTCAGGACTTGAGTATTGCAGTGAGCACTGAAAATCATACTCAAGTCCTTGCCATTGGGGCGTATTTCCAGTGCTTGAAATCATACTCAAGTCTGCTCAAATCCTGACTTGAGCATTGAGTAGAGTTCTGGAATACGACCCTTAAAGTTGGTAAGTACCAAATGTAAGTTACAAAAAAGTTTTGTCAGTCAACTTTTATAATTGTTGTAAATAATTAGTAAAATATAATACAATACAATAGTAGTACATAATCGTAATTGAAAAAGTAAGTAAATAAGCGATTGAGAAAGATTACGTATCGCTCGGTGAAGCGGGTGGCGGGGTCACTGCTCTCGCGCAGGGCATCGATTTAAAGCTAATTATGAAAAACTTTACTAGATAAACTTAGTAAGAATATTGAGCAGATTTCTTTATATATATATTTTTAATGATTTAGCATTATTTTTATTATTAATTTCTTAACTATGGCGAGAATTCGAAACAACACACTGTATATCATAATTATTTATAAACTTGTTCCTATCTGTTTTTAATGATCATGTTATACAGCTCTGTTAATTATTTTGAACCCAGCTCTCCGATTGACTGGTAGTGAGTGCCTAATAGCATTAAGTCCGCCAATTGTACTGTACTGTGTGCAATAAAGTTATTATAAATAAATAAATATAAATAACTAAATTACATTACCAGTCCAGAATTTGTTAGTTATTTTTAAATTAGAAACTACTACCAGTCATTATAAAGACTTCATAGTGTTTAAAATTATAAATGTGCGAGTTTTGGCGACAACAGTCTTGAAAGTAATAGAAGCTTAAGGGGCTTCCATTGTTTTTTTCTTCCGTGTTTACAAGACACAAAGACAATTTGACAGATGCTATTTTCAGGCGCTTTGAACAGCAAATTTTGCTAGTGACGGAACGTTGTTAGTTCTACATGGAAATTATATATATATATATATTTCATAATAAATACAGAAAAGTCTGGAAAATATCATGTTTCCTATAGTATGTATGTATTTCATTAAAATTTCCAAAGCGATGGTTAAACTTTGGAGTTTTCTAAAACCATACCAATAAGAATGAACTATACTTCGTTTTTTTAGGATTAGAAAAAACATAAACAAAGAAAGAGTAATAGTTAACTTTTTGTTCAGTCAATAAATTACATTAAAGGAAAATATCGTCCGCATTGACTTACAATTATATGGACGTCGGGTCCGCGCTAAAAAGTGTCCGCACTTGTAAGGCGCTAAAATCGTATACAGAGCGCGACACTCCGCTTTAATCTTCATTTGTTCTACGGACAGCGCGATACTGCGATGACATAACAATTTAAATTTCGAATAGGTTGACTTGGGACATTTTTTTCGTGGTTTTTGTATTAGACCCGTCGTCCATTTATTTGTAAGTCAATGATCGTCCGAATCGATGACTAATGATATTTAAAAATGACATGATAGTGTGTAATTATTTTATAAAAAAGATTCCGTTTAACGTTTGGAAGCTCCGTTTCTTTAAGTTTTTTATACTTAGTTCAAGTTTTTGAAATACATTAAGATAATTTTTTTTCATTTCATTTATAATAGCTAGTGTTACGAGTAAAAAGTACGTAACAATTACCTAACTATAGTAAATACAGAAGAAGAGCAACTAATGGGTCTTTCTGACACAACACCGAATGTACACCGATATCGGTGGTGCGACATATAATATTTATATTACAAAATAACTCATGAAGATTCATGTCACAAATAGCGAGTGTTTTAAGTGCACATGTCCGTAGGCGGCATTGACTTACAAAGAAATGGACGACGGGTCTAATACAAAAACTACGAAAAAAAATGTCCTAAGTCAACCCATTTAAACGTAGTGACGTGTAAAGGAATATGAAAAAGCTAAAAAGTTGAATTTAAATTGTAATGTCATCGCAGTACTGTCTAATTTTGCTTGCTGTCAGTTGAACAAACGAAGACTAAAGCGTGAATGACGCTCTGTATACGATTTTAACGCCCTATAAGTTCGGACACTTTTTAGCGCGGACCCGACGTCCATATAATTGTAAGACAATGGTAGGCGGCCATAAATAAATACATTATTTACAAATACCATTCAAGTTAAGAGTTATTTAAAAACAGTTGTATATATATTGCTAAAGCGTAAATCATTTTAAATACAAAATCACTGTAAGTACTTAATGTCAATTTGTTAATAATTTAGAATATAAGCCTGATGATACAATTACGAACTCGACAAACAAGTAGTACGTAATTAACATTCTGGCACAAAATTACGTTTAATTCATTCATAAATAAATATCGCGTTACACTTCGACATTGATAACTTTCTTAAACTCACTTGCGTCAGAAATTCGTTCATGCGTTGCGCATGAGTGTCAAACGTAAAACACAGGACTCACAGTTATATACAGATTTTGTACTGTGACCATTCCCAATTTTTTTAAAACATACGCACAGTCGTAATAATTACGAGTATCTTAAAAACAAGTAGTACGTAATTAACTTTCTGGCACAAAATTACGTTTAATTTATTCATATGTAAATATCGCGTTATATTTCAACAGTGATAACTTTTTTGAACTCACTTGCGTCAAAAATTCTATCATGCGTTGCGCATGAGTGTCAAACGTAAAACACAGGACTGACAAGTTATATACGGATTTTGTACTGTGACCATTCCCAATTTAAAAAAATCATAATTCTAGCTACATTCAGGCGCCATAAATACAATATAAAAGCAAACAGGGAAACAAATTACATTTAATTGGACGAATGTACATATTCGATGACAACTACCGGCAATAGTTCAATCTAGTCACAGTTCGTCAGAATCACAACTTGTCGGAACTCGTCGTCGTTCACCAAAAGCAGCAGTATATATAATTTATCTTAATTGCCAAGCTCTGGACGCGTCTGCGACAGGGTTGGTGATGGCTTTATAGAATCTAATTTACGTAGGAAACTAGTGTAACGCCAGGCTGACGTTCACTTGGACAGTTTGCTTATGACTCTAATTAACGCTCCGTTCTCGTCCTTCAAACGCTGGTTTTCGGCTTGCAGCACCTGTTGGTACTGAAAAATAGCATAAAATTAAGTTATGAATTTTGGCAAGATTTGTACACGTACATCACAAACAACACCACATTTTCTGAGGGAGATTGTATTTCGTGGGACAAATGCAGGGCTTCATTAAAAACTGACAAATATTATTACATAATGAAATAGAAAAAAAAAACAATACTACACGTGGTAAGTTTGTGTGTAACAAGTCACTTTACAATATTAAATACATTATATACGTAGTGCGCAATACCGATGGTGTTAGAATGTCAAAAACTTAGAATGTCGTAAAAAAACTATATCTGAACACCGATTCAACAACATTTCAACTTGTTTTTGAATTGCTAAGCGATTTGAGTATATCTAATCGAATGATGATCGTGTTTTTGGGTGTGTCCTTGTCGTGTGCGTGTGTCTGTGTACAACAATGGCAGAGGGTGAATATTTACAGGGAAGCAGATGTACGCATCAACTATTGCTGTGCAATATTTATATTTTTTTTTCTTTTTAATATTTTTAGGAAAACTATACTACCAGCACGCTAAGATGCCCGTTTTGACGTTTGTCCGCTCATCAAATTTCGTATTCATTCATAACTACGTTGAAGGAGATAATTGATGTACATTGTTGTCAATAGTTACGTGCAGTAAAATTTATCGATGTATAACTGCACGACACAACTTAGCACTTGTTTTTCGAATTTTTTTTTTTTAAATGAACTCTAATACGGTCGTCACTTATAGGATCGCTGTCCAGCACAACTTCTACCTACGGTAAAGTCACGTCAAAGCACGCAAAACAAAGCAGTTTCGAATTGACGACATATTAAGTAAACATTTTTATTTTCGTTTTACTAAAACTTTTTTATCAGTTTCCCCTTGCAATACTAGTTATAAATGTAAAAATTTATAGATGTGACTCCATTTGATTATATTTTTTTCGATAATGAATTAAGATTTGACCTCACTATTGTAATTTGTCAAAACAGCCATCATAGCGTGTACCGGTACTGTAGATAAAATACAGACAGCCCAGATGATAGCCGACCTCCGGTAAGAGATGTCACTTCAAGAGGAAGAAGTAGAGTAACTAGCAGCTGGGTCTATAAATGGTTAACATTATTAATAGTTATAATAAATAAAGATGGTCATTCACAAGTTTCCCGAGATAAAGAAATTTCATTCGAATAAATTTCTTACGCAAGCCCATTTTCCTATCAACCCTTCGCCACTGATGTGCGTTTTACATTTCGATGACACTACTCAATACAGCATCACATGGACCTATTTACGGGTGTTTTGTTATCAGTTTACAGCACGGTCTCAACCAAACGGATAACAGGACATGCATTCCACACTCCAGCCAATACTTTATAAGCGTTGAGTTTTATTCAGTTCCTAATTTCTCTATATTATTAATGACTAAGTATCTAATAACGTCGTCGTGATCAGTGTGGTAAAAATTATTTTGATGCGGCTAATATTTGTTACAGTGCGCTTTGTTCTGAAGATGTAATGGTGTTATGATGAAAAATGTCAGGCCGTTGGATGTGTTAACAGTACCACATTTGTAGGTCACTAGCATAATGTCAATTCAAGTTATAAATAATAATAACAACGCAATATGAAACTGTAAAAACTCAACACAAAACGGGCCAGCCACGCTATCGGCGAAAGATTTCCAACAGATATAACCCAACCGAATAGCGAAGCTACTCCGGCGCAAGTTAGACACGGATCAAAGCATGCTGGCCATAGCACACGGTTAATATTAACATTTGGGGAGACTCGACAAATACCCGGCTAGAACTGTGTTGTCACATCGATTCAATTGGACGTGATTTTTTAACTTTTTTGACTCTGAACGCGGAAAGAAGCGATCTGTAAATTTACAATGTTTGTAACCATTTGCGAGTAGTCTCTCTCAATCAAACCGTTTTTAAAGTTATTTTAAGTGTTTCGAATACAATATTTACACATGAAAACACATCCGTATTTGTCAGTCCGTACGTTTTCAATAGTGTAAAAAACACAACGAAGATGATAATAAAACGGAGAGAGTTGAAATTGGGTATTAGAAAACTGAGCACTTGATAATATACTACATTTACTATAATTTCACATGGCAGTGTACGTAAAGTGAGGCAGACGTATAATTGGTTGAATTTTTATGCACAGAGCAAGCGGAAAAATCTTTTAATAGCCAAATAATGTCATTAAAGAAAATAAGACATTCGATTAACTTCAATTTTACGTCCAATATCGTATGACAACGTGCAGTTCCGGGTCTTTGGGCGGTGGAGGTCGCTTGCAATCGTTTAACAAACTAACACATTATAACCTAAATTTGTAGAGCTATAATGGAGCGACGAAATATTGATACGTTTAATCTGTAGATATTTATAAAAATAATATATTTTTTTCATATTGAACATCTAAATATTTATATATGCAAAGTGGGTACATATATTTAAAAAAACATGACACGTTAATGCTCTGGCCACACAGGCGGCCACAGAAGCGTTCCCGCGCCCGGAACGCTTTCGCGGCTGTTTCTGTGTGGCCTGAGCATAAATGTCACAAATTTGAAATAAAATATGCTAACAACGAAATCATAATCAACTAATAGACATCGACGCACCAGCAGCAACTTATGCTAGCAAATCAAAACGCATTTGCAATACATCTGACGGCACTAAACAAAGTGCTCTTCTCAGTGGTTAGAAAAAGCATAACTTTTTAACCGCTGTAAATCAAAACGTTTATAAAAATAGTACTTTCCCAATACAAAATGGAGTTATTGTAGAGTTATTAATTGTTATTCCATTCTTTGACTTGTTATGCACAATACAGGATTATTTGTGAAATACTAACGACCTCTCAGGACTATATTACTAACATCGTAAACAACAACTTTTGTTCAATGATTTTTAATAATTCATCACATTCACGAACTGCCTCCGTGGCCGAACGGTTACCATGCCGGACTGCCACGCAGAGGTCCCAGGTTCGATTCCCGGGCCGGGAGAAATATTTGTATGGCCTACATTTATTTCTCTCGTGAGTTTGGGTGTAATTTGTGGTTGTCTAATTGTGTGTCCATGGCACCCGCGACACAGGGTTTCCCTAGTGTGGGGCTATGTTGATTGTGAGCGTTATTATTATTATTATTTTACTTTCACATAAAAATAAAAATACTTAAATAGATAGCTCTAAACTGTGATAACTCTGTGCAAAACGCAGGAGCGGGGATGAAGATCATCGGGGAGGACACCTACATGTTTATTACCTTACTACCAGATACAGATCCAAAAAGTGTCAGGTAGTATAAAAGTTGTTGTTTATGATGTTAGTAATGTAGTCCTGTGAGATTGTTTAGTATTTTGAAAATAACTCTGCATAATAACTTTTGAATATCAAATGATTTTGACCTATCACAAGTTGTCAACTTGGACTGTAATAGTGTAGCGCGACATTCCTTCAGTAATTTCCTAAGAGTATACATATTATGTGTAGCATTAGCAGCAAACTGTTCCCCCACCGCCGATTCCCGCCGTGTTTCAGCGCGCAAAAACATACATTTACCTATTTTGCAGCCGAGTTGGTCAGTTTGCTCACGACCCGTGTCAGAGCGCGATTCTCCGCCCTCAACCTTTCGTTCTCGGCTTTTAGCTTTTGCAATTGCTACAAAACGAACACCACAATTACATCAGCTACGGACTAAGACTTTTTGGTCTACTTGAGTAAGAGCCTTCAGGGTCGTATCTACTAAATGGCGTGAATGTACAGGATGGTATTCGTATCCGTCGGCGTCTGTTTATGAACGCGTTCCTTTACAAAATGCGTTTTTTATATTGGCAAAATGGTGATCGACGTCGATCAAGGTCTTAATGTTAACCACCAATAATCCACTGCCTCGTCATTACTCACCAGGCATTTGTCGTGAGACGCAATGCAATTCAGAAATCATGATGGCAGCCACAACGCCGAGTCAATGCCCGCAATATTATGTAGTATAAATCCGGTAAAATAAATGTGTCGTGTAGGCACGTGTATTGTTCTCGCGTCTCGCAACGGCGTTCATCAGCTTTTACAATAATGTATTATATAAACGGTGTGAGATATGGGATTTTTCAAAAGTATCAATTTGAAACGTGAAACTAGTTGCATTAACGAATATATAAATCTTTTGTTTTGGGGGCTTACTGGAGTTATCACAACTTTTACCTGGTTTTTAACGTTTAGTTTCACCTTTAGGAAACATTTGAGACGATTTATTTTGTATTCAACATAAAAGAAGTCGGTACACAATCCCACAAATATCTGTTTACGCGTTTAAAAATCAACACCGTCGCGTGACGCTACGCAAAAAGCAACTACGAGTATATCAGAGATTGCGTACCTTTAGTTCTTCCTCCATTTCCGAGAGCTTCCTCTCAATGGCCCTCTTTTCTCGCTTCTCGATTTCAGATAATGAGTTCTGGTTCTGAAAATAGAAAAAAAATTGACGTACCGCGGAGAAAATTTTGACTGAAACTAATTTCGCGTTCTGCCATTTTCGAACACACGCAGTAGCAAAAATTACAACAATCGCTTTAATGCACGTATAAATAATTCGCAACGCGCGATAGAAATACAAACTACTTATCAATCTTTTAACGGCGGATACGCTTGTCTCGAAAAAAATTTAGCCTTTTCTTTAAGATCGCTTTTCATAGTGATATAGTTAGTAGTATACAATTGTCGATGTCAATTTCACGTAGACCTGTGTATGCAAACACTCTGTAAAGACCCTATATGTATTTTGTACTTGAGCAACAAAGGCGAATCGCCTCACGCAATCTTATTAATGATGCTTACTTCATATTTCTCCCAGTGGTACACAAAGTGATACCCAAAACGTCGTAATAATTATTACAGCGAACAAGAATAAATCAAATAGTTCACGACGCAAGCTCACTGTGCACTATTGTCGTGAAAATCAACTTTATTACAATTAATTAAACATGCACGAATTAAGTTAAATAAATTTGTATGAAAATAATTTATTACGCCAGTATAATCAACAAAGACAAAATTCAAAAAATACTATGTTGTACATAGGAATGAAACTATTTTTCCGGATTTAAATCGCGTATATTTGTTTTTTCAGTCAACCGTGACCATGGGACCTGTAAAGGGCCCGAAACGTCGGTTTGTTTGAAAAAACAAATATACGCGATTTAAATCCGGAAAAATAGTTTCATTCCTATGTATAACAATCGCGAAAACCTAAGAACTCGATATACTATGTTGTAGTTCTGTCCATTGTACATTTTACGTCACAGATCTCTTACTATGGCATAACTTCTTATTATTTTCCCGATATTGCGGAACAATTACAAGCTCTAGAAGAAATCTACAACTAGTGACAATAATTCTGTCGAGAATCCATTGCCTTGTATATATGTGACAGTGACTCGTAAAAACCTACTACGACTTGTACATACAACGGTCGGAGAGAGTAATGACAAGGGCAACTAAACCCAATGACGGCAAGAAGCAGATTTATTGCGAGCTACTAAAATAACTCGCTGACTTCTCAGTACAATACCACGACCTAAATAGCTCGCGATTATTGTATATAAATTAGTGTTACTTATCAAATGAAGAATTAAGTAATTTCATTTGCGAGTCGAAACTGTAACCATGTTGATGGAACTTAAATGTGTGGTACCGCTTCTAGTTAGTAAATATTTATAAAAGTACGAGAATAGCATATATTGAATATTCTTATTGCACGGATATATAGCTCGACCTCGTAGGCATAACAATAATAACTCGTGAATTTTTTTTTAAGTCACATCTTTATTATTATTCCTTAAATCTATTTGGGACTCACTCTGTGGTCTAAGAGGTGCATTTTTAATTTTTAAATAGAAGTGACGGTATTCCCACACAATGCCACAGTCGACCGGGATCAAGGACTCAGGTTTAATCGGCGAACGACACATGCCTTATAGAGCGGTACCTATATACATATATTATTAAGTTTATAATGTGCCAAACAACCACGCCAATTATCTGGTAACAGATTGGGTTATCCCTTGTACTATGAGTACCAGAGCTGAACTCCGGGGCACAACCCAGTACAAACAGACCAGAACAAATTTAGAACGCTTCGTTTATTAATTTGTCCCACCGGGAATTGAACCCGGGAGATACACTTCCAGTGTTCGAAGCACATTCATAGAGCCCACGACAATATTGTAACGGATTTGCAAGGTAAAAAACCAAATGTCACCTTGTACGAGAATGATAAATCGATTTAGTTGACGATACTTATAAAAATAGGTTTACTCAAATATAATCGAAAATACTTAAAATTTAAAAGAAAAAAACAATGACAGTTTGTTGTGTATCGATTATGCAACTTTACCAGTCTAGGCCAGGAAAGTAAGTTTTTTCTACTGCTTCAAACTTTCAAATCTACCTACGCTTATGGACATATTTAGAAGTACTCTAAAAGGAGAATGAATTATGATAACAATATTCATATGAGCGACTGGCCACATACACCAGAACGTTTGATTTGAAAAAAGAATTACTAAACCGTCTATTGATTTCGATTCGTAAGAAACATTGTAATCATAATTCAACCTTTGTTTAGCGTTCCTCTAAAGACTCGACTAAACAGAAACTACCTTCTAGAGTCAGTGTCGGCAAAAGCAAGTTTAAAAAAAAACAATTGTTACTTTCTACGCGTTCAATTATGGCGCTCCAATATACCTACACCTCAAGTAAAGTGCTGTGGTATTTTTTTTTTGTTTACTCGATAGCTTGATTGCAAAAATATAACCTTCTTCATTCAACAAGATATTTAACAAAATAGTATGTGTTATTGAGCAACACTGCTATTTATACCTCGGTGTTAACGGGGGTTGCTCGACTCATACTTTGACAAGTGTCGACTCATGTTTGGCAATCCCTGACTTCCCGGCGACCATAATAATATATTATAAACAAGCATGTGTGCTAGTGCACTAGAAAATCCAACGTATGGTGATTGTTGTCGTACCACTTGCGAGAGTCTGGTGATGGTGCCGCGCGCCTCTCGTAGCTGCTGCTCGGAGGTGGCAAGCAGTGCGCGTAGGCGGCGAACTTCACTCGCCGACGCCTCATACAAAGCTTTATAGTCTTTCTTCTCGTCGTCGCCTTCTTCCGTGCGCTCGTTGCCCGACTGAAAACATACATATTCTACATCAATCACTACTCGACACACGGGTCTGTAGGACTTAATCCGTTATGCTGTCCGAAAGCAGGTTGGAGATTTCACATGTCTGAGTTGTAAACCAAACCAAAATGCGAGGGATATTCACAAATGTACGTAACTCAAAAATTAAAGTCAATAGTCGTATCGGGAAACGAACCCGGGACATTCCCACCAAGCGCCCATATTACTAACCACTGTCTCTTGCATATTTATTTAAACAAATAAGAATCGCTTGTAAAACTTAAATTCAATTATTGCTATGGAATAAACGCAAAATATATACCACTTAAGAGAGCGTCTATAAAATATCTGGTCCGGGCAGGGACAGAAAGCTTCAAACGAGGTCAAAAAGGGACCACGTGGTTTAACCACACATTATTTATGATGTTTGAGATGTTATAATATAATAGAAGATGAAACTAATTTCTTCTTCTTCATAAGCCATCTTCTAGTGAGGTCGGCGGTCATAATGGCAATCTGAACTTGGACTCTGCAGCTCTGAATAATGATCGGGTGTGCTCAAATTTCTGAGCTCCTATTCTATTCTCCTTCCTCCTACATTTCTCTTTCCTTGTATTTTGTCTTTTTGACAACAGCTAATTTTAAACCTAACGGACAAAGTCGCATCGTATAAAAAAACATAGATGGTTTTACTATTGTTTGTGAAACAGAACGCGTGGTAAAACTGATTGACAATAGCTCTCACGCATTGAAATCCATAAAAAAAAACCATCTACGAGTTTACTACTGAAATGCATTAATAGTCATAACAAAAAAGTACGCCGTTATTGATTCTGTACAATAAAAAAAAATTGTAAGTGACTAGAAATCGATGAATGTATTTCCTTACCTGACGGTATGATTTTATACAAACCATTATGCGTATTTTTATCTGTACCGTTAAAGCTATTAGGAAACCACGACTTTTTTGTATGCAAATAGTGCACGACACTAATACACGATCGACGCAATTTATGACATTGCATAGTGAAATCTATCAAATTATACATCATGCTTTTACAAGATCAAGACGATTGGTATGACAAAAGGGACAGTGCTAATATGTCAAATTGTACACTACGCATGCTTACGACTGACGCGGTTGATATGACAGTGGTTAGTGCAATGCTGTCCAATTATACATTACGCGCGAATACATAATTAACCAGGTTGACATGACATTGGTTAGAGTGAAGCTGTTAAACTATACTGTTCTTGTTACACATTCAAGAACAGAAGCGGTATCTACGACACAGGACATTACCGCGTTGCGGTTATTAGATTATGTTTACATTCTTACTAGAATTACAATACAAAATTGTTACACAGAGTAAGTGATACTACTGTGTGTACTTGATTGTACGACAGGAATATTGAAATAATTTAATGCTCAGTAGCAAATAGTGACTCGTCGCCTCGACATCACGGCACGCAAACGAAAAACCAAAAAAAAGCGGAAGTTCCGACTCTAACGCATAGGAACTCTTTGTACTATTTAGATAATTTTAATAAAACAAAAGGAACGCACGATATCGACTTTGTAGTATGTCATGGCACAAACTATAATGTTAAGTGTAAAGCAATAGAACGAAGTAACAAAGAATAATATACTTTTCATTTAATTATGAGAAAAATCGACGACGACCATAACAGTGTCTTCCAAGTTATTTTCAAATTGCAAGCGTTAAAGAGTGGGAAAAGTTTTTGGTTTAGAATAAAACGAAGACATACACAATATCCGTCCGAAACGAGCGAATTGAGACTCAAAGAACGAGCGTTGAGCGAACCGAAGGCGTCGAGAGCAGTCAGCGACCGCGACTTCTCTTTGCTAAGGTTCTTGCGATTCTTCCTCTCGGGTCGCACTGGAGGTACATCCGGCTCCGGCAATACTTCCGTCACTTTTGCCGGTGGCACTGCCTTCGGCTTAAAGTTCTTTTGACTCGCCAATAACTTCTTGTCCAACTTTTTTAACACTGGCGTCATTAAATTCAACGACCCTAATGATACCCCGCTCAAGTATACCCCTCCGTACCCAGAACTCGTACCCCCATAAATTCCGACTCCCGGCCGCCCGAACCCGGCACTGTATGGATTGTAGTTCCTGTAGCTATTTGGACTGTACGAGTTCGAATAATTGTTCGAATAGGGATTGTACTGGTTGCTGAGCACCGAGCTGAGCATGCTCGGAGACGAGCCATAGTGAGAAGTGAGGCTGCGTGGCCGCGACGTGTAACGATCCTGTTTCCGACTCATTGTCGATCACATCACTGACGCGAGCGACCGGCGCGGTACATGAAAACACACTGCCGCGACTGCTTCAACTGTTTCACGAGTTTTATTTCCATGTGAAAATATTGTAGGCGGCCACACTGCGGCGGCCCCAAACGGCGCGACACGGGCGCGGTCGCGGTGTGACGCACTAACACAATCAGACGGGGATACACGAGGCCACGTGAGGCCATCACCTGTAAATATATCCGCCAACTATACAACGTCCAGGCGACGATAACCGCTAACGGTCGCAGGAAGTTGGCGCTCACACTACTTTCTTTTCTATGTTTACACATAAGCCTGTACCTTACCAATTTTAACACTGCTTGTCCGCGTAGGTCAGAAAATGGAGATTACATTATAAGCTATTATTTTAGGCGACGCCTCATCGATCAGTTAACGGTTTCCTTCAAAATTGGCAAGTGGAGCGAAGGCCGCACAGATGCGCGAGTCCGGCCCACTCAGGCAGGTACGCACGCGTTGCTCTTAAAATACCCACCGCACTATATTATAACTAACATAAACATCAAGTCGCGGCAGCTCATAAGAACCGAATGCAGGGCGGCAGCGCCACTGTTGTGGCAAAACAAAAGCGAGCCGCAAACATACGAACATAAACACAAAGCTGAATATTATCGACCGCTGAACTAACGGACCATTTACCTGACAACATGGAATGCTTCGCTCCTATTTCGTAACGTGTCGAAAAGCGGAATAAGCTATTCGCCTCCATTGTTGAGTTTAAGTAAATCGTCATTTACACAATATTTATAGCGTCATATACTATCTAAAATGTACATAATGCCTATTACCGTTAAGCCCCAAACGCTAAGGGTACGTTGCCTTTGAACAGCGACGAAGTTGAAGACGAGCTCGGGTTTTTGTCCCCGCTATAAATAATATCCATTCTCAAGTTTACGCGGCTGCGACTGGTGTGACCCAAATACTGTTTGTACTGCTGGAATCCACCAAACGCTGGATAACACAAATAGCCACTTGTAAATAGAAAGATTTCAAAACTGCGCAGCATTTTCGTAGTCAGTGAAAATAATCGATACGACAACATTTTCAAACAAATTCGTGGGCTGAAATCGCGATTTTCTATTACAAAATAACAAACATGCAATCTCAGATGTTGAGTAACACCTACTTGCAAATGTTACATTTTAAAACTTAGCTACGATCTAAATATCTGTTCACAAAATCGCATCCTTTATTGTAACTACAATCTGGTAACATTTTCACTTGAGTAGCTGTGATGTTTAACCAGTTAAAACATTCTGTCACGTACTTCGGAAAACCACAAGCTGCCACCACCGACCCACCATCATTAGAATTATTCCGCATTGACATATTAAATCATGGAGACAACTACTATTTTGCCCCATTTCAAGTAGAATTAACGACGTATGACTGCGCGGAATTAATGTCCCGAGAGAAATAATCTCTCAAAACAATTGATATCTCAATTGTTTCATTGATATACAAAAGTTTATCAACTTTACACTAAATGCAACTAAGATCCTGTGCCTTTACTATGAGTTTAGAGTAGACATGAGTACCGCGCCGGCGCGTCGCCGTCGCCGCGTTTTTCCTCGCGCCAGCGCTGCCGACAAATGCAATCGGCGCGCCGTTCAGTATTATAGCTTCCGTATTGTGTATCTGAAAACGGCGACGCCAGAAAATGACTTTTCTAAGATAAAACTTTTTTTTTTATAAAATGTAAGTTCGCATTTGACCTCCATCTAACCTGATGGAAAGTGACGATGAAGTCAACGATAGATGAATGCCTATTCACTTTTGCCATGAAAAGTTATAACGTTCAGGGAACAAGTCTGCAAGCAGGGAATTCCACTCCATTGCCGTTCGCCATATAAATGTGGAAGCGTAACGCTTCGAGCGAATCTTTGGAATATCCACAACATAGAGGTGGAACCCAAGTCTATGCCTAGCCCCCGGTGATGGAAAGGGGAAAGCGGAATTAAATCGTGTAATTCCATCGCACACTCTCCATGATATATCCTGTAAAATACCGATAAGCTGGTAACTTTACGGCGGTGTTCAAGGCTCTGCAGCTTCGCCTCCACTAATTCCAAGTCACCTATAAGCTTCTGGGCACAGTAGTCAATTGAATCAAAGGTGGCCAGTTGGTATGTAACAGAGCCACCCGAAAGGTGGCAACAGTACTCCATGCACGACCGGACTTGTGCTTAGTACAGCTGAAGCAACTGTCCCTATCTACCGACCCGAGATGGTCCTATCTACCGACCCGAGAGATAGGATTTTCCGGAGAGACTACGGGCTCGACGGCAAGACCAGGGCACAGCGGGCGTCCGGGCCATGCCCTCCGTCAATGATATGCCTTTGCGTCTCTGGCGGACCCGGACTTGGGTGTGGACTCGCTGGGATTTGTCGTTAGCTGCAGAGACGGACATGTTTGAATGCCCCGGTTTTGCATGTGTCCGGGACGTCTGTCTTACGAGCAGCTAGCGCGTCTTAGTACCGGTCTAGTTGAGGACCTGTATGCGCGGGTCACGTGAGTTGCCCTTTAAGTTGGAAGCTATGTCCCGACTTTGTCGAAGGACACTGCGACTGGCATCTCCGGCACTAGTCCGGAGAGCGAGTAAAGGACTAGCTAGATATCCTCCGGTCCCTCCAGCCGCTTAGGTTATTGGGAACTGGAGAAAAAACGTCGT